ATTCCTTTTACCAAACTCTAACAGATACAGAATGATAACAGTAGCAATAATAATTTTTTGCTGTGACACAAGAAAAGAAAACTAGTGTGAAAAGCATTCCTTCTTAGAAATATTTGGTTCTTGCATTCATCTATTCCATCTGCAGTTTAGCTATGTTTATATCTCGTAAAATCTGGTCGTTTTTAAAATTTACAATTGAGAATAAGCTTTTTGAAATTGCTATCTGGCAATATTAACAAATTGTTTTTTGCGGCACTATATCAACTTAATTTTACCACTTCCATTTTGCATTAGTAATAAGAACAACTGCAATAATAATGGAGTGGTATGTTTAACTAATCCTTAAAATGTATACAATATGACTAGATATGCGGCAATATGGTGTCACTTTTTGAAATGGTTTAGGATGTGCTGGACAATACTGGATATAAATGCAAAATGATCTGATTATATGATGTGAAAGTTCAATGCTTCCCCACCCCTGTGGGAAAAACATCTACTTTGATTCATGCAATGTCTTAGGCTGTGATTCATCATTGTTACCGTAGAAGAATACTTTCACCCTTTTGGGTTGCTTATATTGGAAGGTGGCGAATCTATGAGAAAAATGATCTCCATTGTTTTTGCTCCAGCATCCATTGTTTCTTGAATTGCAGAATGTAAATGTATTACTGCTATAACTGCAGTGTGGCAATGGTTGTGGATGATCCTGTTTTGTACAACCAGATTTTAGAAACCTTTCACGCACGAGCTACTATAAGATTTGTCATTTTGCTGTGGGGAGAAAAATCAAGCATAAAAGATGTAGCAGCAGCAGAAATTCCTATTTATAGCTATAATGAGATAACAAGTATGGGTCATGAGAGTCATACGGCTTTGCTTCATTCTGAAGATGCCAGTAAGTTGCTCTGCAGTTAATTGTTTAGTACTGTTGATAAGTGATAGATCTATATTTAATTCGCACTTGATTTTACCAGATTAACAATCAATCATTTTAAGAGTTTTGTAACTCAATTTTTTATTTAGTCATGCTATGCCTTTCCATGATGTCTTATATGCTTTCTTTGACATGAAAGAGGTATTAGTTGAATCCTACCAAATTTTAGTGCCAGAAGTTATAGGACTGGGTAGATTAAATATTATTTATAATACGTTGTAAATACTAGATTAATATTTCATTAACTTACATAAAGAAATTCCTGTGTTGCTTTGCTTTTCTTTTCTTTTCTTTTCTTATTTATTTTAGGGCTCATATCTACTTTGTTTAACATTTATTTTGTCATGATCAACTTTTTGAAGAGTTTGGCTCTCGGAGATGAGGGAGAGAAGAAGATGAAGATGAGAAAAACAATTCATCCAATGGAGTTCGTAGCCAAGTATTGTAGTGTTTGGGTGAGGTTGGTTTGTTATGGTTGACAAATTATTCCTCAAGATGTTAAATTTTAAAAAAATGCGAGATGAATGAAAGAAGAGTATTATGGTGCCTTATTACAAAAATAAAGGAGATATTCAACGTTGAGTGAATCAGGTATTAATCTCTTGAATCACTCTGAAAATTGTGGTAGAGGATGATTGAGAGATTGAGGTTTATTTCAAATACCTTTCAGAATATTGATGAGAAAGTTTAGATAAAAGAAACATGATTTATATATGTATCCTTTTAGAAAAGCCAATAATAAGGTGCTCAGTAAAGTGATATGGTGGGTTCTAGAGACAAGAAATTTCTGTTAAATATATCAATGTTTTCAAAGATATGTAAAATAAGCAGTCTGAAGTTTAAGATGTGGTGTTAGTAGTAGTAGAGAATTTTCTATTTGTGTAGGTTGTCCTTATCTTTTCATTATAGTCATGGAATAGCTTATGAGACATATATGAGAATCTGACATAAGGTCAATGTGTGCTATTTGTTGATGACATAGTTTCTTGGATGAGACAAGGAGAAGGTTAAGGAGTAAGGAAGAATTTGGAGTACTTTGTAACCCAAAGGCAATCGATTATTTAAATTCTAAGAAAAAGGGATACGGATATGTAGTTCGAATACGATACTGATATGCCAATACGAGTTTTTTAAAAAAAAATTAGGATATGCGTTATAAAATTCAATATAGTTTCATTAATATAAAAAAATATTAAAACAAAAGCATAATAATAAAGATAAAATAAAATACTAAAGCATTTTATCCTTTATTGTCCTAATTTCATTTTCTTCAACATCATCAACATTAGCTTCTTTATTATTATTAAAAATAAAACTTTCCAACTTTCGCTCATTTAATGATAGATAAGCAATCTTAAGTAGTCCAACACCTTCAAGAGTATCAAATGAGTCTTTAGCAATGTCCTACTTTTTTATTCTTCCTTTGAATAGAGATCTAATTTTCTTAATAAAAGACGCGCATATTGCTTTTAAGTTTAAAAGTGTTTTCCATTCTAAAACTCTATCTATTAGTATATAAGATAGTTTTTTTTAATAACTTATAATCACATTTATTTAAAGATATTAAATATATAGTGGAGTTTGACTATATTAATGTATAATTTATTAGCACGGTTCTTTAACTTTTACATGTATTAAATAATTATCTATTTTCAATAATAAAATTAATGCAACACAATTTTACACGTATTATTTAATACTAGTTACTATCTATTTTCAATAATATAAATATGTTTGTCAACTATTAACACGATTTCACATTTATTAAAATATTAAATAATGTTGTGTATTTCCAATAAAAAGTCTAGTTGATTAATTTAAAACTCTAATTGTGTATTTTTAGTAAATATTTATTAATATTCAATACGTTATTAATAATAACAATAAGTAAAAAAAAAAAATTCAATTTATAGTCAATAATAATGAGTTTTAAAGAGTTTAAAATCAATAACACTATTCTTCACGTAAATAATTGAAAAATATAAAAATATGTATTCGATATGTATCGGAAATTTAAAAAATATAAAAAAATTAAAAAAATGTAAACGGTATGTATCGGAGGGCGTAGGAGAGTGTTCAAGCTTGGATATGTATCAGATACTGGTATGTAATGAGTTTAAAAGTATTGATGCTTCTTAGGTTAAAACCAAGTCAGAGAAATGGAATTCCTATTTAGTAATAAGAAGAATAAGGATAGTGTAGTCTCTGTAGAGGATAATATTGTTTGGAAGAGGTGAATATTTTAGGCATTAAGGTTTGACTATTGATGGGGAATGACTTGATGAGGATGTTATGCATTGGAATAAATAACTACTTAGGTGGTTGAGGCATGTCTTGCATAGATCTAAAGATGGACTATTGTGGTTGCGAAAGGAACTAATTGCTTATTTGCATTAGTTCTTCCAGTAGATGTAACAATGCAACGAATGACATGGCAAAAAAGGAATTATACAGCCAGCCCAAATTTATTGAGAATTGGGCTTAATTTGTGGTTGATGCCTGCACTTAGGTTTACTATAATGAGCTTCTTATGTATAAGATTGTGATATTAATGATCTGATGACAGCTTAGTAGAGGGTTTCATTAATGCTTTTATTTTACCAATACGAATTACGAACATGGTTTTCAGAGTCATGGTGTTAATACCATGACCATTTATCGATATATTGCTAGTATCTCAGATGTTGGCTGGAATATGAGTGAATTTCTTTTTTTATATATTTCTGGTTTGGTTGAAATCATATTAAAAGAATCATAAGCATGATTAGAATAGGCAATAGGCACCATTTCATTTTTTCTAGTGGTAAGCAAATCAAATTCAATTTTCTGATGTTAACAATGCTTCAAATTAAATCAAATGCTCTATTATGCAATGCCATAAGATGTAGTATCATACTCAAAGATAGTTTGCATCGCCATTCTGTCCTAGCTCAGAAAATAAACAGCTATTACTAATATAATTCTTTTTTAATAGTTGGTAGACATACATAGAGTCCTATAGTTGAATTTATTGATATGATATTCAGAATAGACCTTATGAACGTTTTTTTTTAGTTTACAAAGATATTTGAAGCAAATTCAAATATTTTTAAGAAGTCATAATTCAAGCAGGTATATGCTAGGGTTGACTGAGATGTTTAGTTATATTAACTATGTGGATCATATCTTCTTATCATAATCAATGACCTTGATGGAGATAGAGATAAAGTTTAGATAGAATTTTAATATAGAGTTTAATTTGAATTATAAGCATTTAAATTAGATTAGGTTAATTTTAATATTTTTATAAAATTCTGGTTTATAGAAGTTCTATTATTGTAGATTATTTTATATTGGATTAGAAGACTCTAATGGTGATTCTTATGTTTTATTACATGTCTTTTTGATCTACTTTCCTAAATATATTGAGAAAAGAATTTTGGATCACTCACATAAAAATAATCTATTTAACTAGCCATCATACATGAATTAAAGTTATATTTTATGTGACGGCTCGGGTTCTTAACAACCCAAGCGTCACTAAAAAAAAAGCACTTAAATAAAAGGACCGAAAGAAATAACGATCCAACATTATTCCTAACAATTGTATTTTTAAAGAAAATAAGTAATCTTAATTATAAATGAGTTCAACATAAATAAATAAACATTCCTTCATAAAAATTATTTTAATATTCCGCAACGGCAACCATCTCCACACCGGCCGCCACGAACCGCTAATTTTTTTGAAAGGGGAAAATGCATAATGTGAGATAAAATTTCAATAAGTGTGCTTGAGTAATTTGATTCCTATATATGTATTTCATAGAAAAAATTCATACTTGTATAGGGAGACACGAAAATTGAACCAAACTTAGTACCAAATTTTCATGCGTGGCGCTACTATACTCCAGTTCGTCCTTACAAAATCTTACATAATACGGACCATAACTTTACATAGCCATGAAATAACATATAGAATTACTCACAAAAAAATAACATAATAAAACACTTATAGTTTCACTGGATAGATAAAAAATGATAATCGAAATTATTTTTTGGAGAGACCCTTGAGCTGCTTATGGGGTTAAATATTCACGTGTAGTTGTACATGTGTTAAAATGAAAAGGATGAGAGAGTGTGTGTCAAGTATTGGTGAGGGGTGGCGTGTATTGCTAGGTTTGTCTCATATTTGTAATGTTAGTTTTAAACTATGTGCAAGAAAGGAAATGATTATGAATTGAATAATGTCAATGCATAAAATACGTTGTCTAGCATAAATTTTGGTAAAAGAAATTTTTTTTTTCCTAAAATAGTGGTCAACTCACATAACTATATGTATTCTTTCCATCCATACGTTTTCCATTCAAGCATGTCATGGTGCACTAAAATAAGTTAATTGCTTACACAAATTAATGTACAGTAAATGGGCAGAGATTACACTTGTGTCTATAAATAGATTTATATAAATTTTCAACGTGACTCGACTAAGAATATCTTAGAATAATTGCACTTAAGTCCTCAATTTATTGGTTGAAAACCAATAAGGTTTCTAGACTTTCGGGGCGTTACATTTTCAATATAGCAGAATTGTTTCCTTATCGGGGCCAATTCGAACCTTCAATGTTGCAATCATTTATTTCTGCAGGCTAGTCCACAATGTTGGTTTCTTGTACTTCTCATTATGCGTAGTCAATTGAAGTTTTTGAAGAGGAGTTGCGCAAGTTTTTGCTTCTTGGAGTTTGTTATCGGTTTTTGGTAAAAGGAGAGATCATTCTCCCTGGTCAAATCATATTCTTGAGAATAATTTTCAGAATCAATTATTGTCCATTGATCAGTTTCGATATTTAGTTCATAAGAAAGATCGTACCCCTTGGTATGAGTTAGTGAGATGTTTTTATCAAGGGTTTAGTTCTGACACTTGGTCAAAAGATCGGCTTCCTTGGAGTATGAAGCTCTAGTCTACCTCTCCAAGTCGAGTTATCTCGGTCGGGGAGAAATGATTCAGATAAAGTTTAGATATAATTTTAATAGTGTTTAATTTGAATTATATATGTTTAAATAGATTAGGTTAATTTTAATATTTTGATAAAATTCTAATTTATTAGAAGTTCTATTGATTTTATGACATTGCTAACTAGTGACATTAATTTCAGGGAAGCAATATATTTATGAAACTATCAGCTCCGATGATGTTGCTACGCTTGTATATACAAGTGGTACCACTGGCAATCCCAAAGGTGTTATGCTCACACATGAGAATCTGCTTCACCAGGTTGGCTGTTTATTCTTTTCTATTATTTCTAGTAGACTAAGCTAAAGATTTCTTCTTCTTCTTCCCCCTTTTTTTTTGAGAAATGGAGTTCGGGGTTCTGGTAGGACTATAGGAGAATGAAGTTAGCTATGCTTGTTAGAATTTCCACTTCATTTGGATCTTTTAATGTAATGTTCTCCATCTGTTGAATGGTATTTTTTTTTATTTTCCTCTTGCATGAAAGAGAGGAGCGTGTATTTCTTTGCTGAGAAGAACTTATGCTATACTTGTGATTTCTTGATAATGACCATACGGCCTCAGACCTACCCCACTGCGGGGAAAAAATGTACTATGATATTTCTTGTTTTATCTGTCAACAAATATTTAGGGTGCGTTTGATTGCAAGGGTGGAAAATGGGTGGAAAGAAAATGTTTTACAGGGAAAAGGTTTGCCTAGAAAATGTTTTGCAGGGAAAATGATTTCAAGTGTGTTTGATTGGTATAATTTTCC